ATGGTATGAAAACTAAATTACGGTGTAGACAAATTAGTCTGTATAATACTAACCTGCAACATAGCGTTGCAATATGCATTTGGGATATGGATTTCTAAGCCTGCGAATTTTGTTTTATTGTAGTGTCCRAAGTCAAAGTCTTCMAGTCCTTTAAATGAAAAAGGAAAAAAATAACACATTATTATTCGAATCTCGTGTCCTCGAATGGTTTACGACATTACTGCACTGTCAAGAAGAGCATTAAAGAACTTATTATTCGACTAAGAATAAAAAAAAGTTCATAGTGATGCGGCTTGGACTTTAAACAGAACGTGTTTGGATTGGAGAGTGTCTGGGGTGGTATTGAGCAAGTTTTGCACATACTGTATCTGTAAGAATATGTAATAGTGTGACTGTGCCTAAAAAGAACACGCAGCACAGACACCAAACAGTGCCAGAGGTATTTAGACCGTTGAATAATGAGTATTTTGCATAACTGTGCCGTGGCAATGATGTGTTCTTGAATTATTACTTTTATTTGAAATCGCAACAAGGCAAGTTTCTGTGACCATGCTTTGATCTATACCATTGCACAGCCAAATACGAAATTGGCTCAAACATTTATCCAAATGGTCACAACTATGACATTGTGCAAGGAATCGTGCAGACAAAGATACATGAGCAAATACTGCTTACCTAATTTTGAATATTTCATTTCTACACGTCTATACGCCTTGGGTATTAGAATAGAAGGATCATCATCTAGTTTATTAGGAAAAGACAAAAAAAGTGTTATGTCATTACCTTATGTACGCAATGCATCGTAGGATATGTTTGGGACCGAACAAGGCGGGTTTCGTTTGTTTCCTCTACAAACTGATTCCATAATGCATTGAAAATCAAGTAGTGGCGTAACAGGTTCAAAAGTCTATTAGCACAATTTAGAGTCTAAAATCTACTTGCGCTCCAGGTATAGTAGCAAATTTATATATTGTTTTACCTCGGCTCATTGGAGACTCTGGAACATCACTTTCATCTTTTTTTCTATTCTGTGCTGAATAGTGACCTGGTTTGTTTTGATATGGCCACTGAAAACGAATTTGAATAAAATTAAAATAATTACAGACTTAGATATATCAACCTAGACTATTTCGATTTCATTAGCCCGAGCTAAATCTTCGGGTTTGACAATGAGGTACAATATCAAGAAACATTTCGTCAAAACAAAGAGAAAAACAAAAAAAAAAAAAAAAAATAAATAAAATATATATTATAATGTTGTAGAGAAAAATTACTACTCAGGCTATGAGACAGACTTAATTACAATTTGAACACCCGTTTTATAAATATACCTGGTTTCTTCTTTTGTTTCCAGGATTTGGAGCATAACCAATAAAATGTCTGACTACCATGGTACGTAGAATCTCAGGGTCTATTGCAATAGGATTCCTAACATGGGAAAAAATGTAAACGGAGAGTTATAAAACGTTTGTGACAAGGTCTTGATTGCGTTACATTGTAATCCATATTTGGCAAATTACGTATGCGATCATGTTTGCAACGCGCGCGATTTTTTTTATTTTTTATTTATTTATTAACAGTTCTGCTCCAGATTTATTCGTGTTTGGTTGTTTTAGTTTTCTCTATGTGTTATGTTTCTCCAGCAACTTCATCATTTCCTCCTAGTTACACATAATTTTCATGTTTAGGTATAATAGAACTGCAAGTACAAATGTTCATGGACCCTACATACCTGTCTTCACGGATGTAGTTATTTGATGGCCAGTTAGAGAACAAAGGTTCACTGAAATAGTACATTTATGTAATAATTTGCTATAATAATGGCAAGACAAAGAAAATCTCATCTTGAAGTAATGGATCTAGTTTTAAGATACTCAGTTCTTTACGCACACAAAAATCCGCAGTTTAGAACCAAAGGACTGAGTATCTTAGTTTAAAACTAGATCCATTACTTCAAGATGAAATTTTCTAAGTCCTAGTATTTCTACAAAGAAAATCGTGAACATGGTAGTTTTTGATTAAGTTTTAGTGTTACTTACTTTGAATATGGCAGTGGAAATGATGAAAGAGGTACAGAATAGTCATCAATTGACAGGTGCTGCGTCCTTGGTACCTGGGAATAAATGAATGGATGAATGAACAGTAGAAGGGAAATATCAGTGGATGGATTAATTAGTAACTGAACTAATGAATGGCATTATGAATGAACAGATAAATGGATGGATATTCAAATGAATGGATAAAAGACCAAATAAATGGACAGATAAACAAATGAAAGGACAGGTGAACAAATGAATGGATGAAAAATTGATGGATGAATGGACAAATGCATGGATGTATGAGTGAGAGAGAGAGAGGGAGAGGAAGGGATGGTAACAAGAAGGAAGGAAGGAGTGAAGAAAGAAAGGAACCTGGAAGAAAAGAAAGAAGGAAGGAGCCAAGGACGAAAGGACAGAAAGAAATAAGAAATGAAAGAAGGAAGGAATGTCAACTAATTGTGATGAAGAAAAGTTTGAAACTACTTAATGAATACACTTATGGATGAGTGAATTAATCAATGGAATTAAAACATCAATTAACTATAATAATTATAGTTACATGTAATTCTACCTCGGTTGCAAATTCAGTTGGTATAGAAAAATTATTGTAACACAGATCAGCAACTTTTGTGTCTCCCCACAAGTGYAAATATCCACTTGAATCACCAAAAGCCATTGTATGACAGTTAGAGGACACATCCAAAGCTGTACACATCCCTCCATGGGCATTGATATTGTAAACATACATTGACGATGCAGTAACTAGACCACCAGGCTCTGTGAACTGGAACTGTCCACTCTGAGAAGAAAAACAAAATTGTCACCAGAGAGATAGAACATTACTTTAAATTTTTAACTCTGCAATAGGATTATATTTTGATTATATTTTTTATTATATTTTCCACAAATTTTGAGATTCAATAAAGAAAAAAATTAAAAATTAAGTCTAGATTACATTAAAAAAGACAATTATTAATGAAAATCACTCATTGGCTATATAATTTCCAATTGCCTTTTTAGAATTGCTTTGCAATTAAGCAAAAAAATGTTTTAATTCATTTTTTTGCCAAAAGTCTCCTGCACCAAGTTCCCTGCACCATCTTGAAAGGTAGCCGTGCTTTTCCATCAAAGTGAGACTACCATTGAGCATACAGTGATAAAAATCTGTAAATAATATTGTCTGTAGGTGTGAAAGTTCAAAGGTTTCTATCATTATATGCTCAACTCTACTCTCAGTTTGAAAAGAGGCAGGGCTACCTTTCAAGATGGCACAGGGAACCTTGAAGGAGACTATTAGATATATGTATATGTACTGTACTAAAACCGTCTTCTAAACTATGTGAGGAAAATGATTTCAACTACTGTATCCACAATTTACCTGAGAGACAACTGCAAGTCTTGATGAGAAGGAAGGAAGAAATTTCAACATCACAGGTTCAATAGATACCTAGAACAAACAATAAACCTGTTTATGTTGAAATCTTGAGTCTCCTGGATTATCTGGGAGAGTTGAAAATCCTGCAATAACCTTTCTCAGAAGACAGTATTCATGATATTTCATCAAAACAAGAATTCCAGTGAGATATTGCAATTATAGACACAAAATCCTATGAATAAATTGTCTGTGTAGATGTGAAATAAAGTGCCCATCATAGCAGGCTCATTGGTCATCTTGTTTCTGTGACAAGGAATGATTACCTTTGAAAATGGCACCTTCAGGGAACAATGAAAGAGAAGACTATTATTATTACCTGTATAGGAGTTAGAGCCCTGAGTGTTCTCAAATCATAGACCATCAGAAGCCTGTCCACTGTTAGATGCCCATGCCTAAAGTTATTATCAAATAAAATAACAAATTATTAATAAAACTTAAACAATACCTTATTTCAGTCCATCTTGTCAACTTTTCCAGTGCTATTTTAAAGTTAGACTTGACTTTGCATGAAAGCAAGATGATCATTCAAATGTGAGAAGATAGATCCCAACTTGTGAAAGAAGGTTTCTATCATTGCACACTGAACAGTCATCTTGCTTCGATGCAAAGGCACGGCTACCTTTCAAGATGGCGCAGGGAACCGTGAAGGAGACTATTAAATTGTAAAAAGTAAATTGTCTCTGCTACTTCTGTTTTCTTAAAGTATGATGAGTCATTCACCTACCGCTACCTGCTTATCTAAAAGTACATGACTTGTACAATACCTTGATGAAAATCCACATGTAACAACAAGGTTCCCAGACACATCAAAGTCTGACAGGGTCCCTGAGTGTGTGTCCAAGACATGCTCTGATTTCAGGGTACTKGGATCTCTTAGTGTTACCTTGACAACAAGACAAAGTCATTACTTACAATCATAATCATACCTAATTTGGTTAACTAGCATGCATCATGCATGTAGCAGGGATTTCTGATAGGGGATGGGGTGGTTTGCATTTTGGGGATACAGTTAAACAGGATATACAACATATGAGTTTGAATACAAAAAATAATCAAGGAATTTTGGGGATACATGTACACATATAAAAATACATTGACAGCATTATTATTGTAGTGTGGAAAGTAAATTAAAAATGTACTCCTGTTGATTAGACTACACCATCACCAACAATTAATTATATTTTATTAAATACACACTTGATAAATATTACATGATACATGTACACTAATATATATAATATTAAATGTTATTGTACCTTTCCTTTAGTATCCCCACAGCAGATATA